AGGCAAGGACTACCTGAGTGAGACTTCTGTAGGATTCTGTGCTGTGATCACAGGGTGGGTAGTGAGCACACCTGAACTGACCTCAGGAGTGTAAGGGAATGCTACTTAAACAAAGGGAAGTCTCTTTGCATGCTTATTGTAGAACTTCTGATGTAGTGTCAGAAAGGGGGGGGGGTGACCTCGAGAGGTTACAGAATGGAATCATCTGGGATAGGTTCTTGTTTCAGACTTGCTGCAGCCAAAGTAAATATCTTCTGAAACAGCTTTGGAGTATCTACCTCTCCTGACAGTGACAGTCCAGGAAACTGTGGAAGAAGTGGCTACTGAATTGACAGTTTGTGCCATTTCTAGGAAAATGACAGGGCTGAAGTCGACTGCTGCTTTAAGAAGTCTTTAGGAGGTGCAGTGTTAATCGTGGTCCATTAGGATTTCAGGATTTCAGGGATAATAACAGGCTCCTGGTCTGAACCCAGTTTTTGCTGTTAGGCACAGTCCTCCAGCTGCTTCTCAGAGTCCTCACACTCTTGGCCTAGCTGTGGCTCCTGTCCGGTCTGCATAAGTGAGCTGCAATAGCAGTTACCAAGGCAGACACAGTGGTGACAGAAAGATACTGGAAGCAGTACCTCCCGCTGTCACCCTTGGGGAAGCAGGAGGAAAGGGGCATAATGCTGTCATTTGGATCGCTGTGTTTGATTGTCAGAGGGAAAAGGGGGAGCTGGGCCCTTTTTTCAATCTCAACCATATTATTTTCTGCAGTAGCTGGACCATTTTACATATGTACTCACCAGCAGTGTGCAGTCATCTAGTTTCTCCACGAGTTTGCCAGTGCGTGTGATTTTCTGGTTTTTGGTAATAACCATTCTAATCCTATGAAGTGGTATCTTATTGTGGTTTTCATTTACATGTCTTTGATTATGTCTGATTTACATTTATGTGTTTATTGATCTTCTCTGTATCTTGGAAGAAGTGTTTATCCAGTTCTTTTGCCCATTTTTCAGTCCTGTGGGTTTTTGGCGGGGGATTGTAAGATTTTGTTGAGTTGTAAGACTTTGAGTATCAATCTTTTATCAGATACATGAATTGCAAATATTTTTTTCATGTCCATTGTGTGCCTTTCCCCTTTGATATTGTCATTTGATATGCAAAATATTTTAAATTTGGTAAGTTCCAAATTCTCTGTTTTTTCTTTTGTTACTTCTCATGGGCATGTAATATTGTATAGTACATAGTTATTTATTTAACCAGTCTTCCCTTGTGGACTTTTGTTTTAAATGAGTTTTTAATGAAGATTAGGAAAATGCTTGTAAAATTGGTACCTAATAAACACTGAATAGCTACACCTAAATTAATAGTAACGGTTATTTTCATTGTTACTATTATTTGCTATTTGGAATACCCCATTTGAGTGATTAGGTAGCTAATGAACTATATATGATTGTTCACAAGTATTTTTCATTTCCTAAAAATAAATTGGCTGTTTTATTTTTCTTGAAGACTTTGGTGTTTAAATTATGTGACTCTGTTTTGGAATGAACTTCCTTTTTATTACAAAATACAAGGATTTTTAGGAATTCTAAAGAAAAGTTTTCCAGTGAGGCTTTTCTAGCAGAAAATGAAACTGAGACGTGCCCGAGCTTCTTTTTTATCTTGCAAAGTAGCCCAGACTGGCCTTGACTCTGTTTCCCCTGTCTCAGACTCTGGAGTAATTTAAATTGCAGACCTGTGCCACCACATGTGACTTTGAGAGATTTTCTTTAAGTCAGTGGGGCAAGGGGCAGTGGTGCTACTTTGACTTCAAAACCCCAGTGATTTTGGGAAGTGGGGGTAACCGAGGCAAAAGGAGGATTTGAAGCCAGCCTGTGTGACCCGACTCACTTCAAAAAAAAAAAAGTAGCTTTGGTCCCTGTTTGTGTAGGATTTAAGAACAGTCTTATCCTGGTTGCTGGTTCTTTGTATGTTTATAGTAAAGTGAGGCTGGCACACAGGTACCCAGTCACCAGCCAGATTCACTACTTGGTAAAACCTGATTCTTCCCCAAAAAACAAAACAAAACAAAACTTACTGAATTTTCTTTGAGGCTTTCTTTTTTATTATGATTCCTAAATGTTGGGATGCTCTAAAATTTAGTTCTTACACCTCTTCTGTTCCCTTAATACAAAATGATCTAATATATTCCTTTGTTTTCTTGATTTCATGCTTTCATCCAAAATTTCTGTCTCAAATAGTGTGTGACTTTACACTCCCTATTCTCTGAATTTTTGAATACCTATTTTTATTTATTTATTTTTAGTTTATTTTAGTTCTTCTCCTTTACTGTATCTGATTTTTAGTCTCCAATAGTTACTTCATGCTTTTGGTTAAATGAATATTCACTATTTATACTAACTGATTATTATAGTCATTATCTTCGTTTGAGCCACTATTGTAATGTGTAACTTTTTCTTTCCCAACATTTTCTTTTCCTTGAAGATAACTGCCTTTCCTTTGCTCGCTTTTTTCTCAATCTGCTTACCACTGATTTACATCTTTATCAGCTGTCTGAATTGTGTGCATCTTCTATTTGTTTCATGTTCCTAAAGAAAACTTCTGAAGTCTTTGGACTAAGAGCCATTTGTAGCAATTATGTGCTAGTCATGCTGAAATCTTTGTTTTGCCTATCTCTTGTATTGCATGACCAACTGCTTGATTTCATGGTTTATGATGTATCATGGTAAAACCAATAACTTCTTAAGGAAAGGGCCTACGAGATGGATTTTATGAAACCTCATGGGACTGAAAACTAAAAGATCTTGTTACAGGTGTATTCACTGCATGTAAAATTCTAGATCAGAAATAATTTTTTCTCAGACTTTTGATTCATTGCTCCATTACTTTTTAGTTTCCAATGTTGCTATCAAAAAATCTGAAGCAATTCTAATACTTTTTTTGTTCTGTATGATTTTTTTAACTGACTGGAAGAATTTCTTAAATTTTCTTAAATTCTTTAGAAACCTGCAGTTTCTAAAGTTTCAGACTCTGGTTATGGGTTTGTTTTCATTCATTGTGTTAAGTAGTTGATGGACTCCTTCATTATGGGAATTCTTCTCCTCTGTATTAGAAATAACCCTCTCTTTTTACTGGGGATTGAACACAAGACATTCATGCTGAGATAATCCCCCAGGCTAGGTTTAAATTTGAACTTAGCATCCTCCTGCCTCAGCCTTCCAGATCGCTGGTCTTGCAAGTCTGTGCCATGATGCCCAGCTAATTTTGGTGTGTTACAGTACAGTTCTCTTAACATATCATATACAAATCTCAGATTCTTGTGTTTTAGAATTTAGAGTCTATAGAAGAAATTCAAGTACATTATTTAAACTATTTAATAGGCATAGTACCAGGGAAACATGGTAGAAGGAACTAGTGTTTTCCTGAGAGACTTTTAAAAAAGACTTCATACAAGTGATAATGTTTGAGCTCTATTTTTTAAAAAAGGTAGTAAATGGGGTAGATGTGAATGGTGAAAAGTTCATGGTGGCTAGAGCAGACTGGACAAAGGTAAACAAATGACAAGGAAACTCCACAGCTAGGTCTGGGTTAGATTTTACAAGGTATTTTGCAGCTTACTAGGAATTTTATATATTTTCGGTCTTACGGATATTGGCAGTAACATATACTGTTTGTTTTTAAGGAGGTAGGATAGTTGAATAGGGAGACAGGTGTCAGTCAGAGCAAACGTTTTTGTTGGAAATTATGGTTTCCTCGGTGAGAAATAGCATGACTGTGGAACCCCCTCCTTACAGGAAGAAACATTGGAGAACTTGCTCTTGCCCTCTCCCTTGCCATGTGTAGGTAAAGAAAGCTGCTATCCGCAAGATAAGAGGAAAGTCAGTGTCTGTGCTGCTCCTTGATCTTGGATATTTAGCCTTCAGAACTGATAGAAAGTCAATTTGTCACATAAGTCACACAGTCTAAGGTATTTTGTCAGGGTACACTGTGCTGATTGTCTTTTCCGCATGAAGGTTTTGAGAATCATTCATATTTAAGGGTATAACTCACTTTTATAGGATTTTGTTGTATACTATAACATACTGCCATAATTTTTCTGTGAGTGGTGGACATTTAAGATTGCTTTTTTTTACACAGTGCTTTTATGAATATTGTATCTATCTTCTGGTGTACATATTATTATATCTGTATCTGTAATTGCCAAGATTCAGTTGCTTTTCATCTTCAAAAGCAGAGATTTCATATTGTTCAAATCATATCTAGGAGTAAAGATGCCAGTTAATACAACTATTCCCAAGTAGTCACACTGTTTACCCTCCCACCGGTGAGATGAGAGTTTGTTTGGTTCCAGGTGTTTTCAAATTGGATGTTGTCATGTAGCACTTGTGAAGCTATCTCATTGTTACTTAAATTTGAATGTAACTTAAGTTTTTTCTCCTTCATGATTTTGTCTAGCTTGTGTTTTGTTTGGCAAGCCGATTCTTTTTTACTGGAATGTAAATTTAATATTTATTGAACCAATTTTTGATTTTAAGTCTTACTTATACAGAGATGATAAGACAGGTTCTTTAAACTCAGTCTACATTTAATAGGGGTTAAACTTTACTGGAAGCTACCAGATTCTGTATTATTCATTCAAATATATATTAAAAACATGATTTTCTTTTGTGTCCCTGCGTAGCCTTACTCATTTGTAAACCAGTAGACTTTGGCTAGTTGATATCTAGTTTCCATTTTACTATTGTGTAAAATTCATCTATTTTTTTTCTTTTTGGCTTTGAAACTGAGAAATGTAAGTTACTTTATAGTGATAAACTATAAAATGTTGATTTTTCTTTTTCATTAGAAAAATGTCGGGTTTTGCTTTGCTAAGTATAATTTAAGTCACTTCTCTAAAGACACTTTCCTTAGGTGGATTTCCTACGCTGAGATTACAACGTTTATTTTTTAAAAAATTCTATAAATGCTTTTAAACATAAAATTAATCCTAATGTATATGAATTATTTTTTCTCAGAGTGAAGATACACAACAGCAAATCATCAGGGAGACTTTCCATTTGGTATCTAAGCGAGATGAAAATGTTTGTAATTTCCTAGAAGGAGGATTGTAAGTAAAACATTTCATAGATACTTCTAATTTTTTACTAATTAAAATCTGTACTAGTTGGTCCATTTATGCTTAAAAATTTCATTTTAATTGGATTAGTTGAATTGTCACCTATATTACTAATCTATGTCAAATTTTTAAAGCTATGGAATCTTTCTAAAACTATGTATTTTATGTATAGATGGTATATTCATATGGAAAAATTCAGACATTGTAGAGGAATACAGAATATTAAAAGAGTCTCCCTGTCCCAGCCTTAGCCTTTCTTCCCAATTCCTTATGTATCCTTCTAGAAAATTTTGCATTTACTAACATAAAAATATAACTTTAATCCATTTTGTGTATGAGATCACACTATATGCTTACTAGCATCTTTTTGCTTAGTATTTTACAAAGCTTTTTCTGTAAACACAGAACAATCTCATTTTTTTTCATGACTATGGAGTACTTCTTAAAATAAATGTTTATAAAAGTTTAGATTGTATCTTTTATTATTAAAAACAAGAGCAAAGTCTTATTTGTCAAACACATCTGTGCATCCATCTACCTATGTAGTATAAATTAGAATTCAGCTAATAGATTTTACTACATTTGAAATGAATAAAAGCTACTTGTACTTAGCTTGCCAAATATTATATATTTTTTTCTTTTTTTTAAAGACAAGGTCTTGCTGTGTAGTTCAAGCTGGCTTTGAACTTCCTATGGAGCCTACGCTGGCCTTAAACTTGTGGTGATCCTCCTGCCTCAGCCTATCAATTGCTGGCATGCACCAGCTGTAAATACTTTTAAATCATGAATTCTGTGAAAATACTTTACTCTAACATTTTCATATTCCCTCTCTCATTTATATAATTAATACACTTAAAATATTTCCTTATTGAAAGTTAAAACTAAACTTTAAATGAGTATCATTACGAATAATCAGATTAGTCAGAGAAATCTAGACTTTTCCATATTTTAAGGATTATGATGTGGGTTGTGAAAATATTGTTGGAGGTAATAGAACCCATTGTTAACTAATCATAAACTTTCGTCATGTAGAACGTCTACTTGAATTTTTAAGATTATAACATATTACACACAAATGCATAATACATACGTATAATTTGTAAATTGTGTTATTAAAACTTCATTAATTTATGAGACAAGCTGTCCACCTGGTGAATTCAAATAGATTTCTTGTCTCAGCCTCTCGAGGGCTGGGAATACAGGTCCATGACATCACGCCGAGCTGAGACTTCTACTTTAATTGCTGAAATAAAGTATGCTTATTTTTCTTTTATTGTACTGGGACTTGAACTCAAGACCTTGTACTTACCAGGCAGGCACTTATGCCACTGAACTATATGAACTGTATCCCAGCCCCACCTACTTCTCTTTGAATTTTTCTTGTTCTTCATATCTTAAGCCACTATATGAGTTTGGTTGCTTTCACCATATCATCACTTTCTCTCATCTTAGCCTCTTAATTTATCTCATAGGAAAGTTATCACCCAGAACAATGCATTGCATGTAGTAAATATGTAAGAACCTGATTGATGTAACAACTGTTTGAACTAGAAATTATGGCTCAGAATTGTGCACCCTTAGAAAAATTAGGAAGCAAATATTCCAGCAGACATGAGGGTGACACACCTGAATTTATTCTAGTTTTGTCCCTATCAAGCTTAAGTAGGCCCTTCAAATTGTTGGGCCTTACATTTCTCCTATAAACTGGGATTTAGATTCTGATCTCTAAAATTTTACGGTTTTATATGATGTATTCCACTTATAATTTATATCCATATTATACTATAAGTTAAAGATGAAGTTTTACTTTTAAAGATATGGCATATACTTGCCATATCAGTATTTTGGTTTCTTTTAGTAACATTATTGGTCATGTTGAAACTTACAGTTTTTGAAAGTTTGGTTTTCTTTTAAAGTAAAGCAAAAGAAAATGCTAAATTGCTGATTCAGGATAAAGTGAAGCCCACTATTTTTATTCTTTCTTTCTGTTTCAAAGAATCATTTTAACTATAGTTAAATATAATCTTAAAATCTTTAAAGTATATATTTTAAAAATATCTTTATAAAAAACTAACATAGTAGAACTTCTTAATTTTTCTAGAGATCACTTCTGCTTTTGTTGTGAGAGGACATAAAAGTATTGTACACTTAGAAAAGTTGTTTCTGTGGAATTTGGAAGCTTATTGTTAAATTTAGTAAGAAATACGTGCTAAATAGCACTGTTAAATTGTTTGAATGTTTAATTAACTTGAATATATTTAATCTTGGTTTTAAATTAGATTAGTGCTTAGTAGTCATTTGACAAGGTGAAATCGTTACTGTAAAATTAACCACGATATAGCTAAGCTGTATTTAGAAAAATACAAGATGTCTGGAATGATTCCTAAGTTATTATTTATAAAATTAGAATTCTAGTGGATATAAATTAAAGCATTTAATGAAAGAATTAAATGTCTCTTAGCTCCTTGCATTTATACTCGGAGGAGATCTTGATGGAAAATCTAAAACTTAAGAAATGCCATTTTTTTTTTGCTTTGTTTTGTTTTGTTTCTAGTTGGTAATCCAGTCTTAAGATGTGTAATTTACTGTGACCTGTGGAGTTAAATCTAGTAAGCCCTTACAAATGCCCTGTGATCTAATTTCTGCTTATTTCTTTGACCTCTTGTTTACTAATCTTTTCTTGTCCACTGACTGCCTTCTCCTTGTTTGAACATACTTTGTTCTTGATGTAATGGTCCTTTTGTTGTTGTGTTAACCTGAAACAAAAGTTTTTGTTTTTTCACCATCACCTTCTAACCATTAGACCTCATCTTAAATGTCACTTTCTTAATACTCAGTTTAAAGTTGTGAACCCATCAATATGACATTACCTTGTTTTAACTCTCTGTGTAGCCCTTTACACTATTTGATAGTTTTCTTATTTGTTGGTTGTTGCTTCATCAGTGTTTGACACATAGTGGTCACTCAGTAAGTAGTTTTGTGAATGAATGAATGAATGAATGAATGAATGAAAATTAAGCACTGACTTCACTGGTTTCTTTTGACATTTCTAAAGAAAAGAGCCATCTTAATTAGTTTCTGAAATAATTTCACTTTAGTGCTTTGCAATTATTACTTTTCATTTTATAAAAGGCTTTTAAACAAGTTCTCAGTTTATTTGAACTAATGAGAAAATTTTGCATTTTGCTCCATGTAACATTTCAATTTTGTTTTGTCATTTAGATTAATTGGAGGATCTGACAACAAACTGATATATAGACATTATGCAACACTATATTTTGTCTTCTGTGTGGATTCTTCAGAAAGTGAACTTGGTATTTTAGATCTAATTCAAGTAAGTTAACATTTGCCTTATTTAACTGTGTTGAATTAGTTTTATATTTATGTTTTCTTTAAAAATTTTATATTCAGAATTTTCTAGGATGTTGTTTTGTTTGGTGAGAAATAAGTGTTCCATAATACTGAGTAGGTAAAGAGGAATGGAGATATAGAAGCAAGGAAACTAATCTGGTTAAGACTAATCTCATATTATCCCTCCCTCGCCCCAGCTGTTCATGAGTTACTACAAGGAGTCCAAGATTCATGAGCCTCTCTCGACACGTATCTAAATCTGGCCCTAAAATCTACCTCTCTCTTTTTTTCTTTTCCTTTTTTTTTTTTTTTTTTTTTTTTTTTTGTGCCTAGGATTGAACTCAAGGCCTCCCACTTGCCAGGCAGGCACTTGTGCTGCTGAGCTAAATCCCCTGCTACCTGTCTCTTTACTTCTGAAAGTTGTAATGTCCCTGAAACTCACAGTTACTTATTGGAAAAGTATTTATAGCCTTTTTATTAGTACTACTTCACCTTTTTGCTGTGTGTTGAATCTATCTTCAACCACCTAAAGTACTTGTTTTCTTTCTTGCTTTTTTTTAAATCCTTGACAGTGGGACTCGTTCACTTTGCTTCTTCTAGAATATTCTTTGTTCTAAAAAATTTCCAGATTTTGTCTCATGTTACCACATTATTTCATGCTCTACTCATTTGTTTTGTAGTCATTTCTTTCTGTCTTCTTCATTGGAGATTTTGTCAACAGCTATCAAGGATCTGAGGTTTTATTCTACTTGTAAGCTGACAAATTTACCTGCCGCAACTTCATGGCAGAATATACAACACTTCTCGGCCAGAAACAAAGGACTTTTATTACTCACAGCAAAGACATTACCCCAAAAGAAAAAAATGACTGCATTCACATATACTGGTTCCTCACCAGTTCTAAAAACGTTGAGAAGACCAGGTAAACTTGATCCCAGGTGGTTGCACTGCGGCGAAAGAACCCCAGACGTAGGGAACTGCGGTGTTTTATAATGGATGTGAAGAGTGTCTGCCCTTATTTGGGAGAAAGAGGTTATCTTTTGTAAAGGAGAAGAAAAACCTTTCTTTTTCTCTGTAAGAAGATACAATTTTTCAAAGCTGTTTCAAGCATACTTGAAAAGGTAGTCCAGAACAAAGACAATGAGTAACTCTTCTTACAATGTGTACAGAACTGTGAAACCCACATCTAATTGTCTCTTAAAAGATCTTGTTTCCTAGTTCACACAGATTTATTCCAAGACAGTTCAAATTACAACTCTTGGCGATTTCAATGTTCATGTGGATAGTTCTTCCGGTGAAGCGGTGTCTGAGCAGTGAAATTCCTCCTCAGTGGGTTTTGCCTTCTACCCCATCTTACTGCTCACTTCTTGTTTTCTTAATCCAAGCCAAAACCAGTCCTTTATCTCAGTTTCACAGTTTCTTCCTTCTGTTAGCAATAGCTTATCTTTTCCTATCTCTATTTTTATTATTGCAACAAGACTTTGGATCTCTCAGTTTTTTAAATCCACCATTTTTTTTTCATTCTCCTTGATGTTTTGCCTTTTCTTATTCAGCTTAAATTCCTTGATCAGTCATGATAATCATATCATTCTACACCCTTGACTCCTTCTCTGAACTAGTATGTCTGAAAATACTCAAAAAAAGATCAAACCTCCTGGTTTTATTTAAAATCCATGATTCCCTATGATGGTCAGTTTTGATTGTCAGTCTGGGCAGATTAAGAGATACCTAGAAAGGTAAATGCACTGTAAATGCACTACTAACCTGATAGTAGATTAACACATTGATAAATTTGTAGGTGAATTGGCTAGTAAGAGGTGACGCATGGTTGGAAGAAGTGGTTACTTAGTGTGATCCCTTTAAAGTGTATTATCTTTTCTTGGGTTCTTTCCCTGTCACTCTCATTCCTGGTTGCTGTGACATGAGCAGCTTCTCTCTGCCATGCCCATCCACCATGGTGTTTCTGCTTTATAGCCAATCATAGACTGAAACCTGTGAAACTGTGAGCTACGGTAAAACAACTTTTCCTCTGTTGTGTATGTCAGCACAATAGTACCTAGGTGACTAATACAGTCCCTAATGTCATTGGGTCCTTCATGCTAATCGTAATCATATTTCATGTCCTTTACTCTCTTGTACTAGATGACTTACAGATCCATCATTCTGTTTCCTCAGATCCTCAGACTTTAACACATTCCTTACGGTATAATAGAAGGAGAACTTCCATAGAGTCCCACTATCTACCTAGCTACCCTACATCTGTGCCCTTGCATCGTGCTTTACTTCATCTTTTGTGAGTGATGAAGTCACTATGCTCCTAAGTAAGGTGGACCTATGCACCACTATAATGGTTGATACAGTGTGTCAACTTGAGAAGTTTAGAAGTTTAAGCGACTCAAGATCAGGGTGCTCATCTTTGTAAATATCCTCATCTTGTGCAAGAGGAGGGCCTAGAGATGATGTGAGTGCTATATCAGTCCTAGGGAGTGAAGTCTGCTTATAAAATAAGGGAGAAAAAGAGACTTGCTCTTACTGCTTTTGCTGTCTTGGGCTGCCTTGAACTATTGCCCCTTTGCCATGCCAACCTTCCTTAGAGCAAGCTGATTAGGAACTGAAACCTCCACAAACTGTGAGCTAAATAAACCTTTTCTTCCTTAACTTTGAGTGTTGAGTATTTTGTTCCAGCTTTGAGAGAAAAGTAACTAAGAATTTGGTACCAGAGCAGTGGGGTTACTGCTATGATTATACCTGATCATGTGGTTCAAGAGCCTTTGGGAATGGCTTATGGGAAGAGTTTGGAAAGTTTGAAGATGTCACCTGAAAGAATAGAGCTCAGATTGTTCTATATGGGAGATTCTGGTCAGAGCCCAGAAGACCAGAAGGCTGATAGAAATCCTCCTGGTAAAGACCAAGCTCAGGAAGTTTCCGCTGGGTAGGACTGCATTGGTTGTTTGACTCCAGATGATATATGTTATGGCTTAGCAAAAAGTTAGTTGGCATTTTGCTTCTGACCAGAGACTTTGTCTGAGATTAAGATTAAGGGCAATGGACTAATTAATCTGGCAGAAGAAATTTGAGGGCAGTCTAATGTTGAGGTGGTGGCATGGCTATTGTTGGGGGCTTTTAGTCAGATTCATGTTGAGAATTAGGAGCAGAGAGCCCAGCAGAATACTGTAAACTGTCCCGGGTTTGGCTAGAAAAAAAGCTTCTGTAAAGCTGTGGACTGCAAAGATAGAGCAATGGAGATCTTGATGCTGAGAAGAAATGAGAATATAGAAGATGGCCTGATGCTATCACAAGAAGCAGTTAAGTTTGCACTCTGCAGCCTAAAAGTTGTAAAAGTGAACGATTTTGCTTTGAGGAGAAAGCTGCAGAGCACCATATTCCAGAATGACAGTGACATAGAAAATTTGCTCCTCAGAATTGGATTCAAAGTGCCCAGTGATTGAGGCACTCAACCTCTAGAGAGAGAAGTCTGCCTACTATCCCAGCTGGCAGCAGAGCTTGGCATCATCCACTAGTTTTAGGATCATGCAAACGTAAGAGTTGTGGGGTCAGGAAGGTTTCCACCCTGATTTCAGAAGGCCTGGGAGGCCAGGCAGGAACTACAGGACTCAATGTTTGACCTGCTGGATTTTGGACTTGCTTTGGTCCCATTTCTTTTTGTCTCCTGAACTGTAACTTTTGGAATAAAAATGTTTACTTGTGCCATTGAATTTTGAAAGAGTTTAATTTTTATCTTCATTTGTACAGGGTCTTGTAGCTAAATTTGCCTTATATTTTGGAGGAAATTTGGGACTTGGACTTTTAAGCAATGCTGAGACTTTTAGGACTTTGGCAACTCTTAGACTACATGCATTATGCATAAAAGGATGCGCATGAGTCTTTGGGGGTCCCGGGGAGAAATGTTACAGTTCTAACATAATGTTGATAGACTTACTTAAGAATTGTTAACCCTGTGTTAAGTGTTCAAGTTGTGAAATGATAAGAATAAGCATGCCTTTCTATCTGGAAACTGGTTTAAAGAAGTGTTTCTGGTTGACAAGGGGTGAATTGTAATGGTTGATATGTTGTGTCAAGTTGAGAAATTTAAAGTTTAACTAAGAGACTCAGCAGGGAACCAGGGTCCATCCTTTATAAATATCCTCATCCTGTGCAAGAGGAGGGCATGAAGATATTGGGAGTGTTACACCAACCCTAGGGAGTGATAGCCTGCTTACAGTATAAGGGAGGAAAAGAAGCTTGCTTCCCCCTTTTTGCTCTTGTTGCTTTTGCTGTCTGTCTTTAGTGGCCTTGAATGACTACCATGCCACCTGGCTTGGGAACCAGCTGATTATGAACAGAAACCTCTGTAGGCTGTGAGCCAAATAAACCTTTGCTTCCTTAACTTTGAATGTTGGAAATTTTGTCTCAGCAATGAGAGAAAAGTAACCAAGACAACCACTAAATTAGTTTCTACCTCTTAAGTGCCCAAGCAGTCCTTCCCTTTTGTATTATTATTTTCCCTCCGTTTTCTGTATTATTCTTACCACTGTTGCTGAATCCAAGGACATCAGTGCGCATTTATTTTAGTGTATGTGCCACTAAAGCAAGCGCTTGATTCAGATTGTTGATCATTCTTGTCCATGAAAAGTTTTTCTCGCTTGGTTTCTAGGACAGTTTACTCCCCTGATTGTTATCCACCTCCTTTAGTTACTTTATTTTTGTTTATCTCTCCACCTCCAAATGTTGGCTATGCTCTGGGTGCCATTTTTGTCTTCTCTTTCTTGATTGTATTCATTTGCTAGGTGATTTTATTCCAATATTGTTATATATTGATGGCAGCAACACTTGAATCTAAAGACCGTAGCTCTTAATTCCTATCTTGATCACTCAGCTGCCCACTGGGTATATCTACTGGGTATCTTACACAAATCTCAAATTTAATATGTCCCCCAACTCAGGTCTGGATGGTCCATCAGCTTCATTCCTCTAGACAAATCA